GGGGGGGGAAAAACTGGGTGCCTCCAGCTTGGCATTGCTCCATCCCTCCCCCACCCTGTTCCCGTATCCAGCACCCCACAGGTCATCCCCCCCCTCCCCCCAAAAAACAACCCCAGGAGGACTCTGGCACACGCTCCCCTCTGGCTGGTTTTATTGCCACCAGCCCGTGCCCCCCCCAGCTGGCTCCATCCCTCTGCCCAAATCGAGCCCCCTCCCCGGGGAGGTTTCGGAGGGGGCTGTCACCCGGCGGAGAGCTGGAGCCGTCCCAGGGGGGGTTGTGACCGGTGAGGGGAGGGGGGGGACACTGGAAACACCCCTACTTGGCCAACTTGAGGAGCCTCTGGATGTCGGGCTCCAGCTGGGCGGTGGGCATGCGGGCGCTGTAACGGCGGAAAGGTTCTCCTTCGGGACCCACCAGGAACTTCTCGAAGTTCCAGGAGACGTCGGAGCGTCGGACGGGGCTCCAGGTGATGAACCTGGGCTCGGTCATCAGGTGGTCACTCTCGTCGGCCGGGGCGGGCAGGTGGGCCTTTAGGTAGGCAAACACGGGGTGGGTGTCCTGCCCGTTCACCTGGCACTTCTGGAAGAGGGTGAAGTTGGGCTCGAAGCCCCCCCCAGGGCGCACGTACTTGAGGCCGTTGAGGATCTCCTCGTTGGTGCCGTTCTCCTGCGGCGGGGAAGGAGGAAGATTTAGGGGAAGGGAAGAGATTTAGACTGGAGATGAGGAGAGGGTTCTTCACTGGGAGGGTGGTGGAGCACTGGGACAGGTTGCCCAGGGAGGTGGTTGAGGCCCCTTCCCTGGAGATATTCAAGGAGAAGCTCGATGGGGCAACCTGGTCTAGTTGGGGGTGTCCCTGCTGACTGCAGGGGGGTGGGATTAGATGGCCTTTGGAGGTCCCTTCCAGCCTGGGCAACTCTATGATTCTATGAAAGAAGGGGCCGTGCTTTGTTTTCCACCCCCTCCCCAACTCCTTCTCCCCCCCAAAATTCCCCTTTGCCCGTGGTGGGACTCACCTGGTGGCCAAACTGGTTGCAGGGGAAGCCCAGCACGACCAGGCGGCGGGGGTAGCGGGCCTGCAGCTGGTTGAGCTGGGTGTAATCCCTCACGGTGGTACCTCAGAGGGACGCCACGTTCTCGATGAGGACCACCCGGCCCCGGAAGACGTTGAAGTCCACCTTCTCCCCCTGCAAGGAGGTGGCACTCAGGTCGTAGAAGGACTTGGCGATGGGGACGGTCATGGTTGCAGGTGGACGGACGGATGGATGGATGGACGGGGTGGCTTCTCCTTCCTTCCCGCCCGTGGCCGCACCTTAAAGGGCTACCTGGGTGCCCCCACGTGACTCCCCAGCTCCAAAGGTCTCCTCGCCCAGGGCCGTGACTTGGCAAGAAACCGGAGCCTGGTCCCACCCCATCCCATCCCACCCCCGTGGGGCACCCGCCAAGGGAGGTGGGCACGGGGCCAAGGCCGTGATGCTCCAACCTGCCTCAATAATTCATGGCCTTCCGCCGTGTGGCACCACAGCTCTTCTGTCCCCACCCCACAGCCGCCCCGTGGCCACCAAGATGTGGGGCTGGGGGCCATCCCCTGGGGCTGGGGGCCACCCCCTGGGGCTGGGAAGAGCCCCTGGCATCGGGGAATAACGAGGTGGGGCTGTGCTGGGCAGAGGAGGGGGTGACTTGCACACCCAGGGGTGCCCCCCCACGTATCTCCTTGCCCACTGTGGCCATGGCATCACCCCTGTGGCCTCCTCGCCCAGGGGGAGTCTGCTGCATTCCCCCCAGTGTCCACCAGTCCCAGTGCCCACACTGGTCCCAGTGCCAGCATCCAGCCTGGTATCCATCTGCTGTGGTGCCCACCGTTGTCCTGGTACCCACCCGTCCCAGTGCCCAGCACCATTCCAGTGCCCACCCATCCTGATGCCCACCACCATCCTAGTGTCCACCCATCCCTGTGCCCACCCATCCTGATGTCCAGCACCATCCTAGTGCCCACCCATCCTGATGCACACCACTCCTGATGCCCACCACCATCCTAGTGTCCACACGTCCCTGTGCCCACCCATCCTGATGTCCAGCACTATTCGAGTGCCACCATCCTGGTGTCCACCCAGCATGATGCCCACCACCAGCCCAGTGTCCACCCATCCAAATGCCCAGGACCATCCCAGTGCCCACCCATCCTGATGCCCACCACCATCCCAGTGCCCACCCAACCCAGTTCCCATCACCATCCCAGTGCCCACCTATCCTGATGCCCACCACCATCCCAGTGCCCACCCATCCCATTGTCTCTCCTTGCCCACCGTGATGCCACCACATGGCATCCCCCCTGTGGCCTCCTCGCCCAGGGGGAGCCTGCTGCCTTCCCCCCAGTGCCCACCAGTCCCAGTGCCCACACTGGTCCCAGTGCCAGCATCCAGCCTGGTATCCATCTGCTGTGGTGCCCACCGTTGTCCTGGTACCCACCCGTCCCGGTGCCCAGCACCATTCCAGTGCCCACCCATCCTGATGCCCACCACCATCCTAGTGTCCACCCATCCCTGTGCCCACCCATCCTGATGTCCAGCACCATCCTAGTGCCCACCCATCCTGATGCACACCACTCCTGATGCCCACCACCATCCTAGTGTCCACCCGTCCCTGTGCCCACCCATCCTGATGTCCAGCACTATTCGAGTGCCACCATCCTGGTGTCCACCCAGCATGATGCCCACCACCAGCCCAGTGTCCACCCATCCAAATGCCCAGGACCATCCCAGTGCCCACCCATCCTGATGCCCACCACCATCCCAGTGCCCACCCAACCCAGTTCCCATCACCATCCCAGTGCCCACCTATCCTGATGCCCACCACCATCCCAGTGCCCACCCATCCCATTGTCCACCACCATTCCAATGCCTATCACCATCCCAGAACCCGCCCATCCTGATGCCCACCACCATCCCAGAGCCTACCCATCCTGATGCCCACCACTATCCCAGTGCCCACCACCATCCCAGTGCCCACCCATCCTGGTGCCTAGCACCATTCCAGTGCCCACTACCATTGCAGAGCCCACCCATCCTGATGCCCACCACCATCCTAGTGTCCACCCGTCCCTGTGCCCACCCATCCTGATGTCCAGCACCATCCTAGTGCCCACCCATCCTGATGCACACCACTCCTGATGCCCACCACCATCCTAGTGTCCACCCGTCCCTGTGCCCACCCATCCTGATGTCCAGCACTATTCGAGTGCCACCATCCTGGTGTCCACCCAGCATGATGCCCACCACCAGCCCAGTGTCCACCCATCCAAATGCCCAGGACCATCCCAGTGCCCACCCATCCTGATGCCCACCACCATCCCAGTGCCCACCCAACCCAGTTCCCATCACCATCCCAGTGCCCACCTATCCTGATGCCCACCACCATCCCAGTGCCCACCCATCCCATTGTCCACCACCATTCCAATGCCTATCACCATCCCAGAACCCGCCCATCCTGATGCCCACCACCATCCCAGAGCCTACCCATCCTGATGCCCACCACCATCCCAGTGCCCACCACCATCCCAGTGCCCGCTCATCCTGGTGCCCAGCACCATCCCAATGCCTATCTCCATCCCAGAGCCCACCCATCCTGGTGATTAGCACTATCCCAGTGCCCACCACCATCCCAGTGCCCACCCATCCTGGTGCCTAGCACCATTCCAGTGCCCACTACCATTGCAGAGCCCACCCATCCTGATGCCCACCACCATCCCAGTGCTCACCCATCCTGATGCCCAGCACCATCCCAATGCCCACCACCATCCCAATGCCCACTCATCCTGGTGCCCAGCACCATCCCAATGCCTATCTCCATCCCAGAACCCACCCATCCCGATGCCCAGCACGATTCCAGTGCCCACCACCATCCCAGAGCCCACCCATCCTGGTGTCTAGCCCCATCCCAGTGCCCACCACCATCCCAGAGCCCATCCATCCTGGTGCCTAGCCCCATCCCAGTGCCCACCACCATCCCAGAGCCCACCCATCCTG